CCATACTGGCCAGCCGCCAAAAAAAGAAAGAAAGAAAAAAGAAAACAATACATCTGATTTGTTTACCGTAGAATTTATTGCAAAATATTCCCTAGATTATGAAATTAGTGATCTAATATAGGTGGTTGTTGGCTAAAGGCCAATTAATGAGTTATCTGTCAAAAACTTTCTGTTTTTAGGATAGTTGATTTTAATTATTTTAGAAAATAATTAAATAGCAGGACCAGTTGCCTCTTAACATGTGGTGACATATCATAATGTTTAAATGAATATGGATCTGAATAAGTAGTCATGCATCCTTCTCACCCAGAAGGAAATATTACATTGAGAAGTGAAAGGATGATGGTAAAGCATTTCCATGTCTGTTACTTTATCTCTTAGAAGTTTTAGCCTAATATAATCTAGTACTTTTAAAATTTATTATATTTAAATCTTATTTGTTAAATAAATAAATAAATAAATAAAAAGCTGGGAACAGTTTTTAAAACATCAGTAGACTGTTTTGTTTTTGTACTAAGTATTCATTCTAAGTATTATAAGGCCTTGGCAGCACTTCTGCACCTTAGCTTTTTTTTACTATAAATAGCATGTGTCCTGATTACATAATTAAATAAGTATCCTTTTCCTAATTTCTCATTGAAAAACAGGAACTCTCAATTAGCTGTTTGCTTAGGAGACTTGAGCTGTTCTACAACATTCATTTATTCGTCTTCTCCATAAATTAACTGCTTGTTAGGTCAAGACCTTTTATTTCAATAGCCTTCATCTACTGGGTATTAAATTTAATTAATTAATTAATTTTTGGTTGCTGGCCACTACAGGGATTGAACCCTGGACATTGGTGTTATCAGCACCATGCTCTAACCAACTGAGCTAATTGGCCAGCCTGTTGGGTATTTTATTAACAGTTATTTTGGGGGGCCCATTATGTGAATGCCACCATGTTAGAAGCTAAGGAATATGGGAAGATTTCAGCTTTCAGGGATAGAGTAATCTTAATGTAGAGGTGAGATTTAGAAGAGGCAGTTGATTATACTGTTTTTAAGTCATATGTAAAGTTTCTACTTTGACTCTCAGTATCATCAGAATCAACGAAATCTAAAAACTGCTTTCAAAATTGCCTGGAGAGGGAAAAGTCAGAGAGAAATCTAGTGTTACAAGAATTTAGTGATTTTAAATATTGCATTTAAGCTTGAAATATTGATCAGTTTTTCATAGAATATGAAGAACAACTGGAATCTTTTGATAAACTTCTGCTTTCAGAAATTAATAACATTACTTTTTGCTTTGAAATAGTTACTACATTCATAAATATAATTGATAAGTAATTTAATTTTGTCATTAAGAGTCAGTATTTAGAGACCTGGGTTCTAGTCTACTTTTGCTAGTTGTGTGATCTTGGTCCCCAACTGCTAGGGTTGTTGTGAGGATTAAATGAGATTATGTAAATACAGTGCCTAGAATAGTACCTGGAATATAGCAAGTATTCAGTAGAGGTGAACTGCTCTTATTATTGTTCTGAACATTAAATGACATTCTGAAATGAAAGATTATTTAAAAAGTGTAAGTCAAAAGCAAATGCATAATTTATATGACTAGCAAGAATCTGACCTGCAAAGAGAAGGGAACTAGTATTAATTGTGTACAAGTAATCCTACAGGTAGGTAGAAGTATTCTCATTTAAAAGATGAGAAAAACGAGGCTCAGAATGGTTAAGATCTTTCCTTAGGTCACAACATTAGTAAATGATGTTATAGGGATCCAATCTTGTGTCCTTTCTACTGTTTATTTACCCCGTTTGTCCATTTCCTGGAGAATCCAATGCAAGAGTTTTTTTTTTTTTTTTTTTTTTTGTTAAGAAGCTGTGTGTGTGTATGCCTTTGGAAGAACTGCCTATCTATCTTTTGGAGGGATACTTGTCTGTGAGGGGATATGCTCCCTGTTGGGGATATGCCTGGGATGGTGCATATCCAGGACTGTGCCCCTGTCTATAGGGGACCTTTGCATGATGGTGCTTAGTGTGTATTTATCTCTGTGAGGGTGATACTGTGAGTGTGCTGGTACTTGTGTACATATGTGTATGGCTCTGTGAGAGTATGTGTATGTGTGTGCTTGTCTTTGTGAATATTTCTGTGTACATGAGTGTACCTATGTGTGCATGCCCATCTCTCTGTGCGCATGTACATCTTTCTATGTGTGTGCTTTTCCCTGTGTCTCTGTATCTCTGGGTGTGCTTTTAGGCATCCTGTTTCTGTGTATGTGCATAATATAGGAGTAGGTATATGGAGGGATGGAGAAGGTATCGCCATATTGATACTCCTGGGGATGGCAGAAGGGTGGTGATATTGACAGTAAAGATCCTGGGCAGAGGCCCTGAAGGAAATACAGGCCGTGTGAGCTTAGAAATCAGCCAGCTTTGGAGATCCAATTTACTGTTTGATCGTACAGCTCTGGTTGGAATATTATTAAAGCAGGTGAAACACCTAGAAACAATAGAAGGAATAAAAAAGGTGGAATGTGAACTCAGCTAAATGTTTCACTTTGGAAATATAAGACGAAAAGTTGCTTTTAAAATGCTATAGACTTGCTATTTGTACAATACATTTCTAAAGTGATTTTTGGAAGAAAAAGAGTGGTCTAGGCAATTTTTCCCAGTTCATTTAAAATTTAAAAACCCACTTATTATTTTTATTCAGTGAATTAACAAATATTTATTGCACATCTCTTACGTACCAGGCACTATTTTAGGCACCAGGAATAAAACAGTGAACATAACAGGAAAAACTTGTCTCTAATGAAGTTTATATTCTAGTCGGGGAGGTGACAATAAATAAATAATGCAAAAAAAGAAAGCCAAGAAAATAGGACAGGGAATGTTAAGGGGATCTTGCAGTGTTTTAGTATTAGGTATTCAGTGTTTAACAGTGTTGTGAGAATACATTCAGAAATTAAATTAATGTAGCCATATTCTTATCATATCTGTTATATTGAAAGGAGAGAATCTGTGTGTTCAGCAAATTAGAGATGAAATTGAGAGTAATCTTGTTTCCATTTTTATACAGCCATCATTTGTTTATTCATCACTGCTGATTCAATTAGGGGCAAATCGAGGCTCTTAATTTTCTCCATTGCTGCTTCTGCAGCTCAACCACCGACCTTTGTAGCATTATTTCTAATGATTGGGGCATTTGTATTCAGGGGTCATTAGTAAACTGTTCTGTAAGTAAATTTGAAAACAAATGACTTAAATGAGTTTTGGAGTAAATTTCAGTTGAGTTCTTTATGACCTTGAAAAATTGTAAGATAATTCCTACTTATATAGATCCATCTTGAGAATAGAAAAATATTTTATTTTGCCTTTATTATACCTCCACATGTTGAGTTTTCAAACGTTCTAAGATCTGTTTGTGGATATTTTGTTTTACCTAAGAGTATGACTCTTAAGAAGATGCTCTGTTTATGCAAATCAGCTATTCTATATTCTAAGCCTTGTTCTAGGCACCAGACGTACAAGAGCGAATAAATTAGGTCCCATCCCTTACAGAGTATGCTTCATTCAAGTTGGAGGGATTTAGATAGTAAGTAAATTTTAAGAATTTAACCTACAGCAAGAAAAAGGGATGAAATGCTTAGGGATTGTATTAGCTATTAGTCATATGGTAAAACTGAAGAAATAGGAGGGAACATAGGTCAAAGAACTATTTTAAAAGATATTAGGAAAATTACAGCTCCTAGACATTAGTTTTTTTGAAGGATTGGGTTTATCATTGTTTTCTCAATTGTCCTGAGAAGTAATGAGGAAAAAAATCGAGATTGGAGTAAAGAAGTTTTGCTATGTGAAAAATGAATGTTGCTGATTCATTTTCCTTAGTTTATTTTACATTAGTGGGAATATGTATTTTTTAATTTGTTAGTTTAAAATTTACCTTTGTTTGGATTATTTGACATTTCATATGTCTTTTTTGTAAGTAACTTGAAGAAATATTTAATTTTGGTAAAATTTGGTACCTTACTGAAGGATATATATCTCTTATTTAAATCACAGCTTAAGCTACTAAAATAAAAGTTAATAATAATTCTCTTAACCTGTTTTAAAAATTAAAGTTTTCTAATGGTCATATCTAATTTTAATTTGTTTTCAATTGAATTTGTTCAATATAGATAAAAATGGATAAAGGTTAAAATAGAGATGTCTCAAAAAACATGTGTATGATTTTATTTTCTAACAAAAGAAACATTGGCTATTGTACCTTTGTTCTAATACTCTGGTTGACATATGATGCCCTGTTTTAGATTTTCTCAGGAGAAACAGATGCCCCATTCATCACTTTATAGGTGAATTAGTTAATTACTATTGCTATTTATACTCAATGTAGTTATGTCTTTTATTTGAGAAGGTTATTGTTTGAAGTCTATATAGCTCATGAAATCTTTGTTTTAGTATTGTGTAAATTTTTAAAAAATATTAGTGTTTATGAAAAATCCTAGTTTCTAAGATGCAAAAGTTCAAATACAAATGTGATATTTAAATGCATCATACTTTGAACATTTTATTATATATATTTTTAGTGTGAAAATATGGCTATATTAGGGTAAAGGTTTACTTTTACTGTGTAAGTGGCACTTTACTATTCTTAGCATAAAAATCTTTAAATTTTGTCTTTGTGTAACTGGAATCTAGAAATTCAACTTGTTTTTAGAATGCTAACTTAAGACATAAAACCATTTCTTTTTTTTTGGCATGGCTGGCCAGTATGGGGATCCAAACCCTTGACCTTGGTGTTATAACACTGCATTAAATAAAATACAACAATAACATCAGTTTTTTTCTTTCTTTTGTCAATATTTTGTTTGTTTTTAAAAATGTGCTTCTCTAAATCCTAGAATTCTTTTTAAAATGAATCATTGCATTATTTTAACTGTGAAAAAAGACTTGACTAAAACCTTTGACTAAAGTTCTTAAAAATTGACTAAAACTTTTTTGTCATTGGTGTATTTAGATCCAAAGGCAGAAACCAGGTTATACATCACAGTTAATGACTTTGAATTTCATGTCTACAATCGTTCGGATCTTTATGGACGCCTTCAAGAATTGTTTGGTTTGGAGCCAACAATAATTCCACCCAAGAAAGAGGATGATAAAACACGGGAAAATGGAAGAACAAGAACTCAGTCCAAAATTGAAAGGTTCAGTGTCATACTTGAATTGTATTGATCTCCAGCATTTAAACATTTGCCTTTATTAGAATATCATTGCCACTGTTCACCTAAACACAGCCTAATCTTTCTTTGTAAATTAGCTAAAACTTTTACTTACATAAATAATTATATAATTGTTTTAAAAATTCAAATAATGCAGCATTATGTAATGTAAAAAAAAAAATCCTTGTTCTACTCCACCTACTCAACAGTCCTACTTCCTTCCGTATTAATAACTATAGTTAACAATTTGGTTTTTATCCTTTTGAATGCATGTATATAAATATGCACATACATATACATATTTAAGGTCCATATACAAATATATTGTTTTGTATGTTTCTAAAAACCATATATGGCCTCAATAGTGTGTATTGTTCTGTAATTTTCTTTTTATGTAGTGATAGTTTTTAAGATCTTTTCATATCTGTATATATAGGTCTACCTTATTTTTAAAAATGTTCTATAACAGGGTCAGCAAACTTGGACCTGCAGGCCAAATCTAGCCCACTGCCTATTTTGTAAATAAAGTTCTACTGGAACATAGCCACACCTGTTTGTTTATACATTGTCTATGGCTGCTTTTGTGCTATAGTGGCAGAGTTCAGTAGTTGGGTCAGAGACCATTTGGGCCACAAAGACTAAAATATTTGCTATCTGGTCCTTCCAGAAAATGTTTGCTGCTGGGTGTGGTCGTGTATGCCTGTAGCCCCAGCTTCTTGGGAGGCTGAGGCTGGAGGATTGCTTGAGCCCAGGAGTTCTGGGCTGTATTGTGCTGTGCCGATCTGGTGTCCACATTAACTTTGGCATCTGGATGGTGACCTCCTGGGACCACCAGATTGCCAAAGGAGGGGTGAACTGGCCCAGGTTGGAAATGGGGAGGGTCAAAGAATGTTTGCTGATCCTTGGTGTAGAATAAATGAGAAAAGGCTGAAGTGGAGATATCATGCCAGTGGCCAAAGTATGGCCCCAGGGAAGTAAGAAAGGATTGTGAAGGAAGTGAGATGAGAATACCATGAAGAAGATCAGTTTATTGATAGATTATTTGTAGTGATGGTAGAGGGAGGAAGGATAAACAACAAAAAAAAAACAATTTCCCCTAGAGGGGACACTCTTTTGAAGGTAAAAATAAGTTGAGTTTTAGAGTTTGGAGTGAATTTGGAGTAACTAAAAGATATCCAATGAAAATATTCTGCAATCAGTTAAAAATGTGAAGTTCTAAGTAAAAAGAGGTCAAAATTTTAGATGTAGACTTGGAAGTTATCATTTTTGTACATATAATCATGAAGTTGTAATAATACTGTAATAATACTGAAGGCACACATTTTACTCTTACAACTTAATTGTACAATAAGCATTTTGACATGTTTTGTTAGTGTTGATAACTATATTTTTAATGGTTAGGTAACATTCACCAAGTGATTTACCAAAGTTTAAATAACCCTTTTAACCTTGATGGCTATATTTATGCTTAAAAATGATGCAATATGAGAATATAGGTCAGGGTAAAAACTTGCAGTGAGGTGAATGAGTCTAAACACCTAATGTACAGTGTAGGGATCATAGTTAATAATACAATAGTCCCCCCTCTCCGCTGGGGATATGTTCCAAGACCCATAATGGATGCCTGAAAATGTGAATAGTACCAACCCCTATATACAGTTGACCCTTGAATAACACACGGGTTAGGGGCACCAACACCCACACAGTCAGAAAAAATTCTGAGAATAAGTGAGCCCACACAGTTCAAACCCATGTCATTCAAGGGTCAGCTGTATACTGTGTTTTCCTATACATACGTACCTATGATAAAGTTTAATTTATAAATTAGGCATGGTAAGAGATTAACAACAATAACTAATAATAAAATAGAACGGTGCCTTGACAGTTGATCTGATAACTGAGAGGCTACGAAGTGACTAATGGGTGGGTAGAGCATACAGCATAGATATGCTGGATGAAGGGGTGATTTGTGTCCTGAGCAGGATGGTGCAAAGTTTCATGATCCTACTCAGAATGACCCTCAATTTAAAACTTATATATTGTTTATTTCTGGAAATTTCCAGTTGATATTTTCACACTACAGTTGACTGAGGGTAGTTGAAACTATGGAAAGCAAAACAACAGATAAGGGGGGAGTACTGTAATGTATACTAAAAATTTGCTAAGAGTGTAGATCTTAAGTGCTCTTACCCAAAAGAAAAAAAGGAAACTATGCAAGTTTCTCTATTAATGAATTTGCTTGACTGTAGTAATCATTTCACTATGAATATGTACAGTATATCAAAATGTCATGTTGCACACCTTAAATATATACAATAGAAATTAATTAAACTATAAAAGGCAAAAAGGAGAATATATTCTTTTGCCCTAAAAAAGGCAGATGCAGTATGGCATATCTTTGTTCATATACATTGTTTACAGAGTGTAAGAGACAGAGAAGGAGAAGATAGAAAGATAAAAGAATGATTATCACAAAAACCAAGAAAAAGTTTTAAGAATGTGGTGATAAATTAATGTAGTTCTTTATCACTGAATTCAGAGAAAACCAAATCTTAAGAGAAGGCGATTAGATTTGACTATTAGATCATTGAAGAGTACTTTTATAGAGTGATAGGGAAGAATGTTTGAGTAAAATAACTTAGGAATGAGTCATTGCTGAGGAAATGATGGCCATAGTTTAGGTTCCCTTTCCCCATTCCTCTTACCCCATGATTTACAGAAAAATGAAGAAATTGAAATGTTTACTCCAGGGGTTACTAATCAAGTGAATGGTTTGTTCTTCATATGCATGTTTGTTAAGATGTATGTTGTTTGATGGAGGAAGAATTTGGAATTTGGAATTTAAGAAACAGTGTTTATGGCTAACATGTAAATTATCTAAAACATTCAAAATGTCTTTACCTCAACCATTTATGTCAACTTCAGTCTCCTCCCCCTGTCCCCCCCCCCGAATGGTTGTTTTCTAAGTAGGTGATGAGGACATTTATTCTTCAAATGAATATTTAATGGATACTCCTTATATGGCAGACACTAGCTGAGATACTAGGGATACTGGGAAAATGACAATTGTTCTATCCTGAGACAATTATAGTGCAAGAAGTGTTACCATTGGGGCAAGAATAGAATTCTTTGGGCACTCATAGAAGAATCAAGGAGGGTTGGGACCTGAAGGGTGAATGACTTAGGCAAAGGATGAGATGAAGAATATTCTACAGAGAAGAAACATATGCAATCAGGAAGTTTGTGTCTGGAGTGGATTATTTGTGGTGGGGATAAATTAGACTAAAGAGGTTAGCAGAATCCAGAAATGAGAAATTTGCACCACCTGTACCTCCTTCTTCTGTAATGCTGTGATGTGATTGGAGGGTAATAAGGTGGTAAGACCGCAGGCAGAAGAGACCAGAAAAAAGGATGTTGTAATGATTCAGGCAAGAGATAATCATCAACTGGGTTGGTAGCAGGGGGAAGGGGAAGAAGTAGATGGATTCTAGATATACTTAGGAGATTGACAGCAATTGAATAGAAGTGGAGAATGAGCAAGAAGGAGGAATCAAGACTGAATCCATATTTTGTATATTAACCCCTTATCTAATGTATGGTTTGCAAATATTTTCTCCCATTCTTTAGGTTGCCTTTTCATTTTGTTGATTGTTTCCTTGGCTGTGCAGAAGCTTTTTAGTTGGATATAATCTCATGTGTCCATTTTTGGTTTTGTTGCTGTGCTTTGGGGTTCATGTCCAAAAAATCCTTGTCTAGAACAATGTCATGGAGCTTTTCCCTATGTTTTCTTCCAGTAATTTTACAGTTTCAGGTCTTAAATTCAAGTCTTTAATATGTTTTGAGTTGATTTTCATACAGTGTGAGTTAAGGGTCTGATTTCATTCTTTTGCATGTGGGTATACATTTGTCTGAACACCATTTATTGAAGAGATTGTCCTTACCCTTTTGTGTGTTCTTGGCACCTTTGTGGAAAATCAATTGATTGTAAATGTGTGGATTTATTTCTGGGCTCTTCCTTCTATTCCATTGATCTGTGTGTCTGTTTCTATCATAGTAACATGTTGTTTTGGTTATTATAGCTTTTTACTATATTTTGAAGTGAGGTAGTATGAGATCTCCAGCCTTGTTCTTTTTCCTCAGAATTGCTTTGGCTATTCGGGGTCTTTTGTGGTTCCATATGAATTTTAGGATTTTTTTTTTTTTTTTTTCTGTTTCTGTAGAAAATGCCATTGGGATTTATTTGATAGGGATTGCATTGAATCTGTAGATTGCTTTGTCTAATACGGACATTGTAACTATTAATTCTTCCAGTTCATGAACATTTTCATTTACTTGTGTCATCTTCAATTTCTTTCATCAGTATTTTATAGATTTCGGTGTACACATCCTTTACCTCTTTGGTTAAATTTGTTCCTAAGTGTTTTATTTTTTTGTAGCTATTGTAAATGGGATATATATTCAAAGTACGTAAGGAACTCAAACAACTCAACAGTAGGAAAATGAATAACTTGACTGAAAAATGGGCAAAGGATCTGAGTAGACACTTCTCAAAAGAAGACATACAAATGGTCAACAGGTATATGAAAAAATGCTCAGAGTCACTAATCGTCAGTTAAGTGAAAATTAAAACCACAAGATATTATTTCACACGTGTTAAAATGGCTATTATAGGGCCGGCCTGGTGGCGCACTGGAGAGTGCGCCGCTTGGGAGCGCGGTGGCGCTCCCGCCGAGGGTTCGGATCCCATGTGGAGACTGGTTCCCGCTCACTGGCTGAGCGCGGTGCAGGCGCGACACCGAGGGTTGCGATCCCGTTACCAGTCAGTAAAAAAGACAAAAAAAGGAAAAAAATAAAATAAAATAAAATAAAATGGCTATTATAAAAAAGACAAGAGATAACAAGTGCTGGAGAGGATGTGGAGGAAAGGGAACCCTTGCGTATTGTTGGTGGGAATTTAAGTTAGTACAGCCATTATGGAAAATAGTATGGAGGTTCCTCAAAAAATTAAAAATAGGACTACTATATGTTTATTTATTAAGTTTTTAAGCTCCCACAAGAGTGAGGACATGCACTGTTTCTCTTTCTGTGCTTGGCTTATTTCACTTATCATAATTTTCTCCAAACTCATCCATGTTGCTGCAAATGGCATAATTTTGTTCTTTTTTATGACGGAGTAGTATTCCATTGTGTGTGTGTGTGTGTGTGTGTGTGTCTGTGTGTGTCTGTGTGTATATGTACGTATATATACACCACATTTTCCTTATCCAGTTGTCCATCAGTGGACATTGAGGTTGGTACCATATCTCAGCTATTGTAAATAGAGTTGCAGTAAACATGAGAATGTAGGTATCCCTTTGATATGATGATTTCCATTCCTTTGGGTATATACCTAGTAGTGGGATTGCTGGATTGTGAGGTAGAAAAATAGAACTACTACATGATCCAGCAATCCCACTACTGGGTAACTATATTCAAAGGAAATGAACTGTATGTCAAAGAGATATCTGCACTCCCATGTTCATTGCAGCATTATTCATAATATCCAAGATATGGAATCAACTTGTGTTTATCAGCAGATGAAAGGATAAAGAAAATATGGTACACGCACACACACACACACACACACACACACACGAATACTATTCAGCTTTAAAAGGAAGGAAATTCTATTGTTTGCAACAACATGGATGAAGTGAAACAATCCAGGCACAGAAAGACAAATACTGCGTGATCTCACACATGGAATAAAAAAAGTTGAACTTGTAGAAGTAGAGAGTAGAATGATGGTTAACAGTGTGGGGGGTAGGCAGTTGGAAAGATGTTGGACAGAGGATACAAAATTTCAGACAGGAGGAATAAGTTCAAGATATCTGTTGTATAACATTGTGACTATAGTTAACAATGTATTGTATTCTTGAAAATTGCTTAGAGAGTACATTTTATGGTTCTCACCACAAAAAACTGTTATCTGAGGTAAAATATATGTTAATTAGCTTGATTTAACCATTCCATGGGGGGGAAAAAGAATGGATCCAAATTTCTAACTAGAACAGTGATCATACTGAGTCAGGAAATGTTGGAGAAAGGGTAGGTGGAGGTGGTGATGGTAGTGATCGAGATGGCCTCAGAAGTGTGATTTAGGAGTCCTGTGGTGATTGAAGAGATATGCCTTGAGTTTTCATCTGAAATCTTTAGTGAATTACTGTGAAATTTTAATTTCTAAAACTTTATGTACTTTTTATATGGCCTTTTTTTTTACTCTTGGCCTATCATTTTCATTTTATTAAGGGGAGATTATTTTGGCACAAGGTGGTAGGGGAAGGGAAGGAAGAGCATCAGCTGAATTGTTTTCTGAAGTCTCTAAGGCAGGAGAAAACATCAAAGTGACTTGTACCTTGATCATTTCTTATTTTAATGGTAACTTTGGCTGTCTTGTAAAAAGTCCTGTGATATTGTAAGTGGCATGATGGTGGATATAATGACAGCATATCATACTTTATAGTTTTGTTGTTAAAGCTTGCCATTCTAAAAACATAGTTTTGTTGTTATATAACAGCTTGTCAGTCTAAAAATTGATATGTTAGAGTGCATTCCAAGAGCCTTTCTTTTTTTTTTTTTAGGGATATTAGTATTCCCTTGGATGATCATTGTTTTGTTTACTGTAGTATTTATTAGATGTATTTGGAAAGGTACAGCTGGCATTACATATTGAAAGGAAGTCACCTGGGTCCTCGGGTATTTAAGTTTTCCTTATTCATGTCAATCTTATTTTTTCTTGTCAGAGTTAAAGTAAAAACAGAATCCCAAGATCCCACATCTTCATGGAGATCACTTATTCCAGTCATAAAGGTCAATGTGAGCACAGTAAGTAAATTTTGCTGCAATTCATGTTTGGTGGGTTAATAATATAGAACTTTTTATTTTTGCATATGTAATTTTTATGTAATAAAAGAAAGTAAGAATTATTTTGACAGCAGTACTGTTTTACCACAAATTTATTTATTCATAACTGTTTAAATTTCTTTAAACACTAAATTTCTTTAAATACTGGTCTAAGTTGACCAGTGGAATAATTTAAATAGCATATAGTACTAAAATGGAATCATTTGGTTTTTGCCTAAAAATGTTTGCTGTTAGGTTAGGTCAGCTCAGGAAAAAAATATGACCCCACAGTAGCATAGTATAATATCTCTTTTATGTGTATTTTTAGGGACGTTTGGCCTTTGGGAATCATTACCAACCTCAAACTCTGTGCATCAACTTTGATGATGCTTTCTTAACTTATACTACAAAACCACCTTCAAGTCATCTTGACCAATTCATGCATATTGTGAAAGGAAAGCTTGAAAATGTTCGAGTCATGCTTGTTCCCAGTCCAAGATATGTTGGTCTTCAAAATGATGAGTAAGAAAATCTTATAAAAATAATAAATCTTTATAGCTAAAGTAAACCTTTAGCATTCTTTTAATTACTTTGGTTAAAGTTGTGCAATAATTAGGTATATTTCTCTGTCTGTTAAAGCAATTAACAGCATAGTCCTACTTTATAGGATAAATGGATGTGCTATCCTGTGATAAACTCTAATTTTAAATATTTTTCTGTATGATTATAACTATCATTTTTCCATCCTTTTCTCCTCACTGTGTTTTGGAAAGTTATTTTGGGCAGTTAAGTCCTGATGTTGGTGTTAGGAAATACACGTTACAGGTGGGTCTTGTTTTAAGAAGGCGTGGATGAAGTACTAAATTGAACAGATTCATCACAGTGGAGTACCATTTTGAGTTAGTGAAAGTTGAAAATGGAATAGATTATTTTTGGATAATTGGTGTGAAGTTAGGATGGTAAGGTTTTGAGACCCACTTGACATTTCTTTAACTCCTAAACTGTCAGTTTTGCTTTCCATTTTTTTTTCCCTTCAGTGAAGTAGCTCTTGTTTTTAAGAGACACATTATAGAAATGATGCACACTAGAGTTAACTCATCATGGTGGGATGCTTGCATAGGAGTGGACTGGGACCCTGAAGGAATGGTAGATTCATAACTCCCATCTGACTCCAGGCCACATGATCACGGGTGGGATGGTGGGCTCTCATAATCTTTATGTTTTTCCTCAATCTCTTTTCTTTTTTTGTGAAGGAATTTATGTAATTTAAGTGTTCATATGGAGAATTTCCACAGTAATGTCTCAGCTTTTATCTTTTTGTGTGTAGGCAATGTAAAGTCTTATGAGGTTATGCAAAGTATGATTATTCCTTTTTACTTCTAACTCTTGGCTAGCTTGCTATTAGATTTTCCAGGGATTGGAAAGAATGATAGAGAGGATTTTCTTTTCTTAAGTACCATGGTGGCTGTGGGTCTACTTGGCCTCACTCTTCAAGACCATGGACTTGGTTGAGCATCTTCTGGAATGTGGGCAAGGCACACAATTCTGTATTTTTGGGTAAAGGTATAATACTGAATAAATCTGGACGTTTTGAAAATTACTAGAGAGTAAGATAAAAAAGTATCCTATTAATAATTTGTGTAAAAGTGTTTAAAATTGTACTTTTCATTCTTTAAGTATGGATGTTAAATGATGAGATTAAACGTTAACTTTTGTGATCTAATACATACTTATAAGAAAATTGCTGAGTTTGTGTATGCTATTTTATTATCTAGTGATTGAGAAGTTAATTTGGATATGGAAGAAGATATTGTCATGTATGACAGAGAAAAGTTGTTAAAGCAAGTAAAGATTAATAGTCTATGGGAAATTAATTGATGATAGAGGAACAGTAATTCCAGAGTTTAAGTTCAAGATGTTTGCTTTAAATTTATTTTGAGTTGATCAACTAAATATTCTTGGGAAATAAGTAATATAAATTGTTAAAGACAAAAATGACAACATTTTTCTTATTTAATGTTTTTGAATGTTTTTGATATACTTTATTAAACAGATAGATAAAGTATTTATTTAATTTTGTAGTGTTATTTTATAAAATGGTTGAATTTTAATTTTAATTTTGTTGTGAATGCAGATTACAGTTATTCCAGTTATCATTGTTCTATTGTATTTAAACTTGTTTTAAATTGATTCCTCTCATTCAAAACTGAAAATGAAAAACATAAAACTGAAAATTTTTTTTCCTCTTGAACCGATGTACTGATAAATTCCTAGAACCATTTTATTTTTTAGTCTGATATAGAATACGCTATGGAACAATTTGTTAGGATGATTGTCTATGTTAAAGTTTTTTTCCCTTTTCACATAGACAATCTTACTTTTCACATAGACAATCAATACTTGTGCTTTTTAGTTTTTTTCCTTTTTGTTTTCACCATTAATTCAGATACTGAACATTTTATAATCTGGAGATGTTTAGTTTGCCCTCTCTCCTCCTTCTTATAGACCACCAAGATTAATGGGAGAAGGTTTTGTGGTGTTGCAGTCAAATGATGTTGACATCTATTACTACATGGACGAGCCAGGTATTATTTTTTTGAGAACAATACGCTTCATGGTTATAATTCTGTTTCTTCTGTGAAATGCTGATATCTAATGTTTCATATCTCCTTACTTAGTATATAAATAAGCATCAATAAATGGTAAATGTGGATATGAGAGTGTCTATCTGAAAAATAATCTGTGTCATATCTCAAAAATTTAATATTTAGTGTTTTCTTTTTTTTTTTTTTAAAGATGACCGGTAAGGGGATCTTAACCCTTGACTTGGTGTTGTCAGCACCACGCTCAGCCAGTGAGCGAACCGGCCATCCCTATGTGGGATCCGAACCTGGGGCCTCGGTGTTATCAGCACCACACTCTCCCGAGTGAGCCACGGGCCGGCCCAATATTTAGTGTTTTCTAAAAGAGAACGATACAGTAATCTTTCCTTCAAACTCCATCTTCACAGATATACCTCAAAAATATAGAATGCAAATGACCATGAGTGAAAACCTTTAGAGAATGCAGTGATAGTTAAGATAGTTCATCTTAATTTAGAAAATAAAATCATGTATGTTACATTTGAGGCTTAAACTTTAAACATAGAAATCCAGCTAGTTACAATGCTTGATAGGTGGCTTCCATTTTATAAAAGTATCTATACGTTGGATTTTTTTTAGCTCAGTTTTCACACATTTGATCTTTTTATACCTTTCAAGGGTTTATAGGGTCAAAGTATTTTGAAAGTAAAACTGGGATGTTATTTGCCTTTTCACTGTGTTGAAATTGGCACTGATGGTGCAAAAGCAATTGTGGGTAAAACAGCTGGTGCTTTAGCACAAATCAAGGCAGTGGTTTCCTAACTGTACTCGTAGTCATTGTATTTTTCACTGCCACACATTTTACCATAAATAAATGTCAGTGTTACATTAAAACTTCCTGATTAAGCAGTAAAATTGTTATCAAATATTGACACCTGAGTGAAGTCTTTTTAATATTTGGTGTCACAAAATGGAAGTAGACATAAAGCACTTCTGCTGCATGCTAAAGTATTCTGGCATCTTGAAGAAAAGCACTTGTGTGACTGAGTTGCAAGCTGAACTATTTGCTTTTTTTCTTGCAACACCAATTTTACTTGAAGGAGTAATTAGAGATAAACTGTGGTTTTGAGCTTTCATGTGAAAATTAGAATTTTGGAAAATTTGGGTCTGCCACCATGAACTTGACAGTATCCCAATAATTAACGGCTTTTCTAATGAGACCACCAATGATATAATAAATGTGATTTTTCAGATGTTTACTAGTGATATTGGTTGACATTTGGAAAAAATCTGCATAACTCAGTGAACCAATATTTTCCAAATGACCAGTGCATGATGTTACAAAGTCACATGGATAAAAGATGTATTCAAAAAGCAAGAGAGACCAGTAGATTTTAACATAACAGTATGAAAAATTAAGTGATATGATTTCAGATTCCACATTCTAACTAACCTTTAAGAAACTATCACTTGTTGAATTTGGTGTAGTATCAAAGAAAAATATCCAAAATTATCTGAAAAAGCTATTAATATACCCCGCCCTTTTCTATACACATGTCTGTGTAAGGCCAGATTTTCCTCAAATCTTTCAGCAGATTGAATGCAGAAGCAGCTATGAGAGTCCACCTGTCTTCTATTAAGCTAGGCACTAAAGAGATTTTTCAAAAATAAAAAAAAAACACTTCTCACTAAATTATTTTGTTTTAGAAAATATAGTTATTCTTCATTAAAAATGAAATTAAAATTTTATTTTATTTTTATTAAATATAGTTTTCATTTTCCTATTTTTATTTCATATTTTCACTAAATTTTATTAAATATATCATTATGTCATGTAGTTTATCTTAAAAGTAAAAAGTATTTTTATAATTTATTTATCTGTTTTTCATGAAAACAAAGTTTATTATACTCTTAGGTCATACAGATGGGAGGAATACCAGACTATGCAGGGCCACATGGGAAAGATACCAGGGTTGTCAGGAGGCAGAAGAAAGGAGCAAGGGCTAAGCACTACGTCAGAGCTTTCACTGAGGAAAAGTGAAGCAGGGCAAAAAATATTTTTTAAAATTGCTGAATTTTAATTTCAAACACAGTAAATTTTAATTTTAAGCATAGGAATCTATAATTAACAATAATACAAAAAGTCTTTTTGGGGTTCTCAATTTTTAATAGTATAATGATTTCCTGAGATCAAAAAATTTTAGAATGTTTTTAATGATTGTTTTAAGTGACTGGCTTTATATTGTATGTGCTGGAATATAGGACTTGTTCCAGAAGAAACAGAAGAAAATATCGAAGGAGAAATGAGCAGTGAAGATTGCAAATTACAAGACTTGCCTCCATGTTGGGGACTGGATATAGTTTGTGGTAAAGGAACAGATTTTAATTATGGACCATGGGCCGACAGGCAGAGGTACTTGAGTAAATTATATTTCTAATAAGTTTTCAAGTGTATTGAGATAGTGGTATAAGTTTTATTTTAATCTAGTTTAATATTTTTATAAACTGTTTTATTATGGCAGGGCAAAATATCACTAAACATTTTGATCCAAATAATAACCTGTGTTCTCTCATATTTGGGTGCTGAAAAAAGAAGAAAATAATAAGTTGAACTGTTAAAAGGGAGAGAGAAGAACTGTAGTTACTAGAGATGGGAAATGGGCGGACGGAGGAGGGTTACTAAGAGGCTGGTTAATGGACACAAATTACAGCCAGATAGGAAAAATAAGTTCTGCTTGTGTACAGTTGATCCAGGAATTAACAATGATTTACTGAATGTTATTAAATGACTAGAAGAGAGGATATCAAATGTTCACATCACAAAGAAATGATTAAGTGTTGCAATGAATATGCTAATTACCCTGGTTAGACCATCACGCATTGTATATGTGTATTGAAATACAACTCTATAGACCATAAATATATACAATCAATATGTTTCAATAAAAAATTTAAAAGAAAGACAGAAAAATAGCTTATTTGTGGAAAACCACAAGCAAGTTCACTGCAAAGGAGCAGCATATTTATTGGTTCTTTTGTGTTTTCTTTTTTATAAATCAACAACAATTTATTCTTGACCCCCTACAATATGCCAGAGATTGTTGGAGATATAGGGATTCAGAAATAAGAGACACGTATAGTTCAGTTTTAGTGGGAAAGAAAAAAAAAATGTTTTGCTAAGTGCTATGATAGAGATAAGTAAAGGGTCTTGATGAGGTACTTAGACAAGTACTGTTTTAGCTTGCTAGGACTGCCATAACAAAGTACCAAAGATGATATGACTCAAGTCATATCACAACAGAAATTTCTTTTCTCATGGTTTGGAGGCTAGAATTCATCAAGATGTTAGACAGGTTAGTTCATTCTGAGGGTCGTGAGGGATTGATATGGTGAGGCCTCTCTCTCTTCGGCTTGTGGATGATTGTTGTCTCCCTGTGTTTTTACATGGTCTTCCCCCTGTACATACCTGAGTCCCAATTTCCTCTTCTTATTAGATGAGGACATACCCTGTGACCTAATTTGAACTTGATTACCGTTCTAAAGACTCCATCTCCAAATCTAGTCACATTTTGAGGTACTAGGGGTTAGGACTTCAACGTATGTATTTGTAGGACACAATTCAGCCCATAACAGGTATATAACTCATATTAAAGATTAGGGAAGAGAAGAATTGGAGGTTTTTTGGTAGCAGTAATGAGTGAGTTGAGTTTTGAAAGATAAGTAAGAATTAGCCAGGGAGAGAAGGTGGGGCAGTCAGGTGAATAATCAAGGCAAGGGAAGAGTTTTGCAAGTATGTAAGGACAGTGGAGAATTGTCCTACAGATACTATAGGGAGTTAAGAGTTCTGTAGTAGTTGAGAATTATGGATTTTGTATTGGAGGTAATGGGTTGTCTGAAAGATTTTTCATTAGTCATTTTATTAATTTTAAAGTAATTTATTTTTAATATGAGTATATTATGAACATCTTTCTACTTATTGAAGAATTTTAAACTAAGGCAGAGCCTTTTACCACCAATTGTGAGGGAGCATCTAAATTTTTATGTAAATAGACATTGTGTGAAGTTAGCTTAGTTTTTCTATTCATGAACTAGCTTGCTTGAGTAGAGAAGTACAAGCCAAGGCATTCACTGAAACAGGAATTACCGGGCCATTTATGGATTGATGAAACAGTGCTGATCCTGACTCTTGGTGTAACTCTTTTTATACTTCTTTAGTTTTAAAAAGTGCTACCTATCTAGTATCATTAGAATAATTACATACTTTGTCCAGTAGTATGTTCTACTAGTCTTGGTATCCCTAGTATATAGGAATACCTGCCTCATTAAGTATTAATTAACAATTGTATGATAAATGAATGTTTGTTATTTGAAAACTCTTGGCAATCCACTAATATGATACTTCATATTTATTAAACTTGAAAGTAAACAGTTTAAGATTTCAGGTTAGAAGCAAACACTTTTCATGTTGCTGGATTTTAATTTTCCTTTTATGGCAATTTTTTTTCTATAGTAAATCATGCTATATTTGCCATATAACAGTTGAAAATGAGGGATGTTTGTATTCTACTAAGTAATAAAACTAAATCTATTCCAACTATATTCAGAAATCTCAAGAAAACTTCATTTTCTTTGGCCAGAAGAACAGTTATATATTGTTTGAAAGGAAAAAATTAAAATAATGCTTTAACACAGGTACATGAAATATTTTTGCATTTTTAGCACCTGAATAAAGTGTGATTCTTCTCAACTATGTTTAATTTTATTACATGTTTTAAAAAATATATAATATACAATACACAAATATATTTACAAAAAAATCTAAACTATAAATCTTATATAGTTATACTTACTTGTGGGGGGGTGTCTGTGTTGTATAGTAAAATGACACTGAGGGTAACGTGAAATAGGAATTTGCTTTAAAACAACTCTCTTCAGTAGATTGTTTTCACAGCAATACATTTTTCTATTACAGAGAACAGCAATACATTTCTTAACCTGGATTTAACAAAACTATTCAGGTTTATTTTTTTAAATTTTAAGAAAGAAAAAAATTTATTTTTCACATGTGTTTTGTTTACTAATGGGAGTCATATTTAGCTCCTCACTTACATATACATATGGTCTTATGTAGCCATTTCCTTTTCTCCTTCCCCATATTGAGTTTCTGCACAAATATGAACTATAATTGGCAATGAATAGTAAAATCAGTTTTCTTAGCATCTGTTAGTGTAAGAAATGTAGGAAGAAATCTCAGCTGTTTTGCTCTTGGATAGTTCACTCAGCATTGTGAGAAGTTACTGATCTCTGACATAGCATGATTTTAGCTTATAGATTTTTAAAATCATAACACGATTTTAGTTTCTAGATTTTGATGTCAGTTCTCCTACCTTTACGTGATTTTCTGAATCTTTAAGCTGTTATTCAGATTTTCCTTCTTGGTATTTTCTTTTTACGAGTTTTCATGACACAGTTGAAATACAAACTCTATTACAATGAAACTTAATCTTTAGATGATGATTATAATAGTGGGAACATTCCTGACTTAAAGTGTTTTCATTGATATATTCTTTATTTATGTATTTGTAGATGTTTTCCTCTTAATACCTATTTACTTTTAGAAATTTATTGTTCTTTAGCCTCTTATTGATATAATATTGATTAAAATGATTATGAAAAATAATGGAAATAAAAGCCACTTCTTCCATGTGCTATATGTACCGCTAAGTCTTTTCCGTATATGTTTTCATTCAATCCTCAGACCCATACTATGAGACAGGTTATGTTATTCCTAAATTACAGATGAGGAAGCAGATCAAGTTTTCTCAGCAAGGTTAAGTAACTTGTTCATGGTGGAATGATGATTCTAATTAAGCTGTCTTCTGTTAGTTCTTTCCTTACCATTTGGACAATTCTTATACTTGAAGAAAGTCTTTAATTTCTCACAGTGTACTTGGATAGTGCTAATTTGGTCTTATCTATGTCTCATTGAGTAGTAGTACCTCTGTTAAGTACTCAAAGCTCATTGATCTGTGGAAGTATAAAACATTGGAGAAAATCTAATTGTCAAATGGGATAGCAATGATAATGTAAAGTTAGAATACTGATTTTGGTCCCTTATGATAGGTAATTTTGTTTGAATAATGTCATTATTCCTTCTACCTCTTTATATAGAGATTGTTTATGGAAGTTTTTCTTTCCACCTGACTATCAAGTTCTGAAAGTTTCTGAAATTGCACAGCCTGGGAGACCAAGACAGATCCTTGCTTTTGAACTACGAATGAATATTATTGCAGATGCTACAATTGACTTGCTGTTTACCAAAAACAGGGTAATTATTGTAATAATTTAGTTGAAATTATGTTTAAAATTTGAACATTATTCTCCAGTGTATTTTTCTGGCAACTAGTCTTAGATTTATTTCTATGAGCTCTCCCCCTCCTACCCTGCTAAATAATTGTATGGATATTACTTTTGTCATACTTTTATTAAATGTCAAATAATGGGAAGAAATTAATAATAATAGATCTTCATGCTATTTTCTGGTTCATTTTCTCCTTTATATCTGGCTAAATTGTTTTAGTGTATTTTTGATATAAATTGGAACTTTTGTCCTTAGGAACTTTTAATACCTATTAAATATTATTGATAATTGTGTTTTTCCTGTGATAATAACTGAAAAGTAAAAATGATGGGAGTGTCATTATAATGAATGTTTTATATGAGTTAATTTTTTTCTTTTGGTAGGAAACAAATGCTGTACATGTAAATGTAGGAGCTGGTTCATATTTAGAAATAAATATTCCAATGACAGTTGAAGACAATGGTAAGCTGCAATTATTATTTTTCTGTTTTAAATGATTAGAGAAATAATTAATATATAAGTAATACTGTTTATTAATCCTTTTAGACTGATATTAATAGGGTTGTCTTTTTCAGTTTTTTATTATATTTTCATGTGCCTGTAGTTAAATTATTTAAGCACCTAGAGAGAGGGAAAAATTTTCTAATCAAGTTAAGTCTTAAAATTCTATGCTTTTATTATGCCCTATGGGTCTCTTTTGTAGGACTGAGCATAATTTGCTTAACATATATTTTTCCTGTTAGACTGTTGCATCATGAGAGCAGGTTCTGTGTCTTTCTTTGCACTAGTGTAGTCCCTAGTGCTGAACCTAGTACTTTGCTTGTGGACAGAAATTGAATGACTAATAGGCTTTGTTTTAGATTATATTGTTAGTAGATTTTGTCAGGGAGTGAGCTGAGTACTTTAAACAACATAATTTTTAAAAAGCAGATCATTTCTATTTAAAATATTAAATAATGCCCTCATAGCTATAGTTTTATTTTAGTTGACTTAATTTAAGTTCATTATGCATTTGAACTTTGGGCACTGATACAAGTTTATCAATAACACAAATACTTTTTGTTAAATTTATCAAATTATCTTACAGACATTCATTTTGCCTTCTTCCTCCCATCCTCTTATTACATTTATAATTGAGAGCAGTTAAGATGAAATTCTGCTTTACTTATTCACTTTCTTGACAGCAAAGATAATAGTAACATCCATATTTTTAAATCAGTAACCAGCAATGTTAACTGTTGCTAAGTATAATTCATTTTTATGTAATTTTTATCTCTCCTTTCTTGGTTCTGTCACTTATTTTGCTGCTACTATAAGAAGAAGTAAACAGAGGGGTTGATTAGGTCCTTTGCTTGCATAAAGTGGTAGCATTAGGGCCTGCCTGCTTAAATATTCAATTAAAAAAATGAGAATGCCATAGTGTATCTTTTCTCCATAACTTCAGAACTATTTTAGTGAAGAAGTAAATGTTCTCTTAGGTAGTTTTAAAAGAATAATTGTGCTAAATCTTGAAGGAGATGCTTGATGTTCTCTAGGACTGGTGATTCAGCGTAGGCAGTTGGAAAGAAGTATCTTTTAGAAAAGCCTCAATTTACAGATATATTGTGGGGGAATAAAGGTAGTCAGGGGTTGCACAAAATTTATAATAGTTCATTTAAGGGAGTGCTTCCGTCTATTTTAAACTGATGATGCACGAAGGCAATAATATTTGTACAGTTTTGTATAGCATGTACAATACTGTACAAATAATGGTGCACTGGGGTAAAGGGATCAACTGAGGACTGAAGGGATCAATATCTTGAGCAAACCTGTTACAAATTCATGGGAAGTGCCACAACATACTGGTTGTGGAATTCTGAATTAAGGGTCTAAGGAAAGTACAGTCAGTTTCTTAGGTATAAAGTCTAGGTTGTTTTTAAGATGACTATCTGAAGGGAAAAATGGACTTAGGTTTCAGGCAAGAACAATATATAACTCCAAACAAGTAAATTTAAAACTTTTTTCAGAGACTCACGTGTTTGGGAAAAAAAAAAGTGCCCAGAGCAAGATGCATGTGGAACTAGCTATATAATCCCATAGAACTAGTGTTCATAGAAGGGGACCCCATCAAGAAAGGAAGTATAATACTCTAAACTTTTCTGTTTTTGTTGAGAATGGGCTGTGTTGCTGGGAAACTGTCATTACATGAGGAGTAGATGTTTAGAAACTGTCATTATATAAGGAATAGTTGAAAATGATGAAAATGTGTACCCTTGAGTCAGTGGAAGAAGAAAAAACATAGACTTGTTTTAAATAGTTCAAAACTATAGTTTAGAGAATAGACTTGTAGTTTTGCACTGGAACACAAAATCAGAATAGATATTACATGAGGATGGATTATTCTTCCTTCAGAGCTATCCAAAATGAGAAGGATCACTGATTTTGTTAGCAAGCTATCTGTCACTGAGGTGTGTTTAAATAGTGACTGATCACCATTTTTCAGTAATTCTTTCTTTGGGCTGTGGTTTCTGGTTCTTAATTTTTATGTTTTTATTTATTAGGTTATGCTCCTGCAATTAAAGGACAACTCTTACATGTTGATGCCACTACCAGTATGCAATACCGCACCCTTTTAGAAGCAGAAATGTTAGCAGTAAGTCTAGAATATATGAGGATATGCATACTTTTGTGAAATGCACATTTGGTTTTAATTTTCCAATATGGAGTTTAACCAGGAAATCATCAAATGGTCCATCTTCTTGTTCAAGAACTATGAGGTGCTCTTGGACCCTGTCTTTGGGAAGAGGACTGGATTCCCAGAGCTATGGACTCCCTTCAGCATCTCTGTTCTGCTTCTAGATTGGGGAAAGTGAATAAATGGCAATGATGTATAGGTTTTTGGCCTTTAAAAATGTGAGAAGTTGGGCCGGCCCGGTGGTGCACTGCTACAGTGCACCGCTTGGGAGCACGGTGGCGCTCCCTCCGAGGGTTCGGATCCCACATACAGACCGGCCGCTCACTGGCT